TGTGTTGTTGTTTTCTTCTTCTCTGGTGAATTTTATTCCTTTGAAGATGTTGTTAATGGTTATTGTTGTTTTCTTCTTCTCTGGTGAATTTTATTCCTTTGAAGATGTTGTTAATCAAGCAGTCAACATATGCTAATCAATGAACTACCAGAAGAGCAAAACAGAACCCAACCCCCACCAGTACTGGCAAAGCAGGCCACAGCAGATAAATAGAGAGCAAACCTCATCCCATTTTAGCACTGAAGATGTTACCTAGCCAGGTAAACATATGCTAATCAATGAACTACCAGAAGAGCAAAACAGAACCCAACCCCCACCAGTACTGGCAAAGCAGGCCACAGCAGATAAATAGAGAGCAAACCTCATCCCATTTTAGCACTGAAGATGTTACCTAGCCAGGTAGTGAAACATTTGCAAGAAAAGAACCAAGCTCAGAGAACCCCAAGGACTCCACAGTGTACAAAGTACTATACAAATGGAGTACTACACTTTTTTTCAGTTTTAAGAAACGCCTCTATAATTGAACTAATAGGGAAAGTAATATTAGTAATATATGGGATTTCATAGCATATAGGAATATATCCTTTTTGTTCATGCTTAAAGAGGTATAAAGTTCCGATCTGCAATTTCAGAGAACTAGAACAGGAAGATAAATAATATCAAAACATCTTGAAGAGATTCAAAAAGCAGAAGGCACCTCCTCCTTACCAACAAATAGAAAACAATTACAAAATATTCTGAGATATTAATCACCCCTAACTCCAAAAAAAAAATTAATAAATGAAAAAGCAGATAATCCACTGTAGAAATATAATATTTGCATGATAACTCAGAATTTGAAATATACATTTAATACTCTCTAACCCTAAAAAGGGACGCGGTGGCGCAGTGGCTTAATGACGCTGAAAGTTGCCGGCCAGGAATGGTCGACACTTCAGCGGTTCGAGCCCAGCTCCGCACAGCAGAGTGACCTCCTGCTTCCTCCCCAGCTCCTGTCAACCCAGCAGCTCAAAAACTTACGTAAGTAGATAAATGGGTACTCTCACCCTGGTGGGAGGAAAATGCTGGTGGCGCTTGCACAGGAGACGGGGAGCAGTTGCCGGTAACGCGGAAGCCGCGCACGCCCGAAAAAGGCGCGAAGCAATGGAAACCCCACCTCCTGCGCTCACCAGCTGGGCTCTGCTCTAGGAAGGAGGCAATGGCAAATG